ATATTTACTTGACAAGCATAGATACAAAGGTGAATAGGGTCAGGTTTTCTCACCTTAAGGATCTTAACAAACTAAAAGAATCATATGTTGCATTATAAATTCTCTGAGGGCAGGTGTTAGTAGGAGAAATATCACTAAGTTTACCGGGATGGGTAACTGCTGCCAAATGTTATGTTTACCACAATGCAAAAATTATGGAAATAAAACCTAGGTTTCATATTATTATGCTCAAGCATAGACTGAGCAATCATGAGGATTCTAAAACCGTTTCTTATAGGCAAAATTATGTCAGAGTGACAGAGAGATAGTTTATTTACATATTACAATCTCAAACACTCCTCTTAGCCTACTAAAGTTAAAGTGAAGATAGACCCATAATCCCACACTTCCTTCACTGTCATAAAAGTTGAATAGGCTTAGTTAAACAAAGTCGTAATCTTATACATCCTTTAAGAAAACAAACTTCTTTGTCAAACTCTATAGGTAAACTAAACTGGGTTACAGATTAAACTATACTTAGAGAGTTCACAAATAGATTGATTGAAGAGAAGAATTTCCATGTCACCAAAGAATCAGAGACAGTAGAAATTTTTCCTCTGGTTTCTTAACTAAGGAATGTTTAAGGCTCTTACATAAATTTTCACATCCATTGGGACAAGTTTTGGTCAGGTGAGGTTAATATTAACCAAAATTTGCAGGAGGAATGGCCATGAGTCCTAAACAACAAAAGTAAATAAAAAATTCTTACACAACACAGGGCTTGATTCACTTTTTTTCTTTCTATGTTCTGTATCTAGCAAGATGCCTGATGGTATTAGTAAGTGCTTAATAAATGCTTGTTGATCGATTAATAAGAGACATGGAAACAAAAATAACTAAATACAATGCCACAGGTATATAGGAGGTATAAACTTGAGCTATGAACTTCAGAAGAGGGAGAAGTCATTGAAGGTAAGAAGCAAAGAGCCACTGCTGAGACTTAGGGAAAGCTTCTTGGAAAAGGTGGCATTTGAGCAAAACCTTAAAGGGTGAGTAGGTTTCTTAGTATTTGCTCGAATAATTCAGTGCTCACTTTGTGGACTAAATCCTCTATATGAGGTATCATGAGGGTTAAAAAAAGATTAAGATATGGTCTCTATCCTCAGGGAGTTTATAATTTATTGAATGTGGAGAAGAATTCCAGAAGTTGGAAGGAGTGTGAAGAAATATGCAAAGATGGAAAAACAAAACAAAACAAAACAAAAACAAAACAAAAAGCCATGCTCAGAAACAGTAATTTCCCTGAATTTGGTTGGAGTGTAGGTTTGTGAAAGGGAATAGTGGGAGATAAATCTAGAGAATTAGATTGACACCTAATTTAGAAGAGCCTTGAGTATTTGCCAAAGGACAATTTGAGCTTTATGTGGTAGGCAAAGAGAAATCCCTGAGTTTTTGAACAAGGGTGTTCCTTGAGGGCAGAGACCATACCTTTAGTTTGAACTCTTTTCTGCTCCCAGTATGGTGTCCTGCACTTAATAGGCACTGATGGAATAATGTGATTCTGTAAGAGTAGCTTAAAGAATGTTAAAGCTCAGAATAAGCTGAGGCTACTGAGCAAAACTAAACTCAGCAATGAAAAAAACAGTCTCTTGGCCTCCAGCCTCATTATTTTAGGGGAAAAATAGGATCAAAGAAAGTATCAACAATGGGCACAAGGTAGAGCTGCTCACTTCTTATTTTGCTTCTCTTTCCTCAGCCAAGGACAACAGTCTTTGGATAAAAAGAATTGAAGAAAAATGGCTAATAGTTTGTGGATATTCAGGATGAGTATGGATATAGTCAGCTGCCTTGAGAAGTTCAAGTCACTAGGCCTAGGCCAACTATACGCTCTAGTACTGAAACAACTAAAGGAAGTAATTATGGAGCCACTGACAGTGATCTTTGAAAGATCATGGAAATGTTTGTTTGTTTTTAAAATTTATATTAGTTTATTTATTTTTAGTTTTCAACATTCACTTCTACAAGATTTTGAGTTCCGAATTTTCTCCCCATCTCGCCCCTCTCCCCACCTCAAGATGGCATGCACTCTGAATACCTCTTCCCCTAATCTGCCCTCCCTTCTATCTCCCCCCCCCTTCTCTTTTCCCCTTTCTCTTTTATTTTCCTGTAGGGCAGGATAGATTTTTATATCTCATCGCCTATACATCTTATTTCCCAGTTGCATGTGAAAACAATTTTTAACATTTGTTTTTAAAACTTTGGGTTCCAAATTTTTTCCCTTCCTCCCTTCCCACCTACCCTTATTGGGAAAGCAAGCAACTCAATACAGTTATACATGTGTAGCCATGCAAAACATTTCCATAGTAGTCATGTTGTGAAAAACTAACTATATTTCCTTTCATCCTATCCTTTCCCCCATTTGTGCTAGTCTCTCTTTTGATCCTGTCCCTTCCCAGAAGTGTCTGCTTCTGATTACCCCCTCCCCCAATCTGTCCTGTATCATTCCTCCCATCACCTTCCCTCCTCTTTTCCTGTAGGGTAAGATAGTTTTCCATACCCAACTGAGCGTGTGTTATTCCTTCCTTAAGCCAAATCCTATGAGAATAAGATTCATTCACTCCCTCTCACCTTCCCCCATGTCCCCTCCACTGTTAAAGCCTTTTCTTGTCTGTTTTATGGGAGAAAATTTACCCCATTCTACCTGCCCTTTCTTCTTTGAGTATAATCCTCCTTCACCCCTTATTTTTATTCTCCAGATATCACCCCTTCATATTCAACTCACTCTGTGCCCTCTCTCTATCTACTTATATATACATATACTTTTTTCCCTCTCCAACTACCCTAATACTGACAAAGGTCTCATGAGTTACAAATATCATGTTTCCATGTAGGAATATAAAAAGTTTAACCTTAATAAGTCCCTTATGATTTCTCTTTCTTGTTTACCTCTTCATGCTTCTCTTGAGTCTTGTATTTGAAAGTCAAATTTTCTATTCAGCTCTGTTCTTTTCATCAAGAATGCTTGAAAGTCCTCTATTTCATTGAATATCCATTTTTTTTCTCCTGAAGGATTATACTCAGTTTTGCTGGGTAGGTGATTCTTTGCTGTAAAAGATCATGGAAATGTTTTGCATGGCTATGTATGTACAATCTATATCAAATTGCTTGTCTTCTCAAGGAAGGAAGAGGAAGAAAGGGAAAGAATTTGGAACTCAGAATTTTAAAAAATGAAAAATTTTTGTTTATATGTAATTGAGAAGAAAATGAAATAATTAAATGGAAAAAAGAGAGATCATGGAAAATGGGAGAGATATTGAAAGACTGGGCAGCTAGGTGGATAGAGTGCTGGGCTGGAGTCAGGAAGAATCATCTTTGTGAATTCAAATCTAGCCTCAGACACTTACTAGCTGTGTGACCCTAGGCAGGTTCCTTAACCCTGTCTGCCTCAGTTCTTCAACTATAAAATGACCTGGAGAAGAAAATGGCAAACCACTCCAGCATCTTTACCAAGAAAACCCCAAATGGGATCACAAGGAGTCAGACATGACTGAAACAACTGCACAATAGTAACAGCAAACTGAAAGGCCAGAGAAGGGCAAATATCATAATCTTCCAAAAAAGGAAGAGGATGAAGTCTACAAAGTATAGGCCAGTGAACTTGACTTTGATCCTTGGCAAAATTTTAGAATGTATATTGAAAAGTATAGAGAGTGAACCATTGTGAATCTAAAAAAAACAAGTGGTGATCTCAAAGTCTCTAATGGAGTTCTCTAGGGATCTGGGCTTGATCCTCTGCTATCTTATCAAAGACTTGGATAAAAAGAACAGACTGCATGCTTTATATTCATAGACAACTCAAAATTGGTAGAGATGACTAACACACTGGGTGACAAGAGTTACAATTAAAGGAAAAAATAGAACATTGAGCTAAGTTAAAAAGATGAAATTTAATAGGTACAAACCAGTTAGTCAGCCAATCAGCATTTATTTGGTACCTACTATGTGCCAGGCATTGAGATAAGTGCTGAGGAGACAAAGAAAAGCTAAAGACAATCGCGGCTATTGAGTTCACAGTGTAATGGAGGAAATAATATGCAAACATCTATATACAAATAAGATATATACGGAATAAATCAGAGATAATCAACAGAGGAAAGGCATTAGTCAGACTAGAGTTTAACATATCAGATATACAAGTGCTGGATGGTAGAGGCATGGCTAGACAGCAAGTCACCTGAAAAAGATATAGAGATTTTAATAGACTATAGTATAATATGGCAGCCAAGAAAGAAAAACAATCTTAGGGTGCATTAACAGAATGTGTCTAGGATCAGAGAGGTGACCGTTTTACCATTCTCTGACTTCATCAAGCCACAACAGGAGTGTTATTTTTAGTTATGAATGCCACATTTTCGAGAGGATATTGATAAGCTGGAGAGAATCCAGAGGAGAACAGTCAGGATAGTGAAGGGTCTTGAGGCCACACAAATGAAGATCAGCAACTGGTAATGGTTTGCTTGTAGAAGAGAACACTTAGGGGGACATGATAGCTATCTTCAAGTATTTGCAGAACTTTAACCTGGAAGGAAGATTAGGTTTATTCATATAAGTCCAGTATTAATATTGCTTTATTGTCTATGATACTTTTTATCAAAATGTAGTTACCCTGTTTATCTCTTTTAATTTAATCTAAGCCATAACACTGTGTGAGATTATAATTGCTACCCTGCCCTTTTTTTTTTTTGCATCAGTTGAAGTGTGATAAATTCTACTCCAACCCTCCATTTTAGCTCTGTGTGTGTCTCTCATTTTGGCTTTTATAGTTTTATAAAACTATATGGCCTCTAAAGTTCCTTCCAACTCAGATCTTGTTATTCTGTGAATACACATCTGTTGAAGGAATAAATCTCCTACAGGGCAGCATTTTATTCCACTGAAATATCTGATTCACTTAGATTTAAGGTTTGTCACTGTAATGTTTGTCACATTGTAAGGTAATATATTTCCCTTTTTTTTTTCAGACCTGTTCTTGTACCTGCTAGAAAAAGAAGCTGTTTAGAGCCATGGGTTATTGGCTTAATCACCTTTATATCTATGATTGTTCTGGCAGTGTGCGTTGGACTCATTGTTCATTATGTGAGATATAGTAAGTATCAATTGTGTTTTTTTCCAAGTTGTTTTAGATTTGTTCTTTCAGATCCATAATTTAAGCTGTTTATGAATAAGCCTTCTTTGAATTTTCATCACTCCATGCATGGTTTCTAGATTGGTAGATTTGATAACTGGAATGGAATAAGGCACTCACAAGTCATTGAACAGTTAAACAAAAGGAGGTTTACTTTTCCCTAACTCAGCAAAGATAGGCAAGAAGGATACAGTGGTCCTTAGCTTCTCTATATATTGCACCCTTTCTCTCCACATGTAAATGAATCCTAATCAACAGGGTACAGTGACTTTTGTAGGCTTCAGAAATGAACCAATTTGAAAGAGCCCTTACCCCACCTGGGTGAGAATTTTTTATGAGTTTAGATGACCATGAAGCTGCAGTCATGGCAGCAGAGGCCAAATACTTCTAAGGCACGACTTTGTGTCCTTTAGGGAAAATAAATCCTTGCTTCTGGAAGTAAGGAGCAGACATGGGCTGCCATGTTGTGGGGAAACACTGATACACGATGGATGTTAGTCTTATTATAGTTGGTTATGTGGAGAAACTGATTTCCTGTCAACAAAAGAAAGCAGAATAGCAACCTGCTATTCTCAGCTAAAGTAGAAGCTGGGGTAGCTAAGTGACTCAGTGGATAGAGCATGGGGCCTGGAGTTAGGAAGACCTGAGTTTAAATCCAGCCTCTGATACTTATTAGGTATGTGACCCTGGGCAAATCACTTACCCTCATATTTGCCTCAGTTTCCTCATTTATAAAATGAGCTGGAGGAGAAATGGCAAACTGCTCTAGTATCTTTGCCAAGAAAACTCCAAATGGGGTCATGAAGAGTCTGACGACAGAATAATAACAAAAGCAGGGGCTAAATGTTTCTCAAATAATGATTTGCTTCAGGTCATACAGCTCTGTCATCAGACAGCATTCTGAATGATTATGGTTTCCATCCCTACTTTCTAAACAGAGGTTTAGTTATAAACGCTGTTTTCTGGGTAATTTGAGCAAAATCTTAAATGAACCCAAGGTTTTATTATTTCATTATTGTTATTTATTTATTTATTTTGGTGGCAACAAGGTGCAGAGTGACTGGTCTGGAACCAGGAAGGTCTAAGTTTGAATCCAACCTCAGATGTTTGCTAGTTGTGTGACCTCAGGCAAGCCTCTTAAACCTCTGTTTGCCTATGTTTCTCATTTATAAAATGAGGTTAATGATAGCACCTACCTCATGAGTTGGTGTGAGGATCAAATGAGATAATATTTGTAAAGCACTTAGCATATTGCTTGGCACATAAATGTTAACTATTGTTGTTATTGGTGTTGTTTTTGTTGGTGGTGGATCCACCCAGATAATGGCCTCAGAATTCTCTGCTTTGACCTTTTGATAGCTGAGACCTAGGCTGAAGAATGCTTAGGTTCTCTTTATTTTTTGTAATAAGTTTTTATTGATATGTTTGGTTTTTAAATGACTTAACGCTTGTCAGTAATGTCCAACAGTGTTTGCAATCTAGTCTAGCTCTAGATCTATGTATGGCACCTGTGAGATTCAAATTGAGAACATCCTTTGGAACCTCTGTATTCATATTTGTGTAAACACTTCGCTAGTTGAGATATAACTATCATTTATGTATCTCTTCCAAATCTAAGCCACAGGCCATTTTGCTTCCCTGAAAGTTCTAAATGTGACCCAAAGCTATCCGAGAAATAGCTAATCCATTTTGTGGTCTCCAATGTAGGTAGTTTTTACTTCTCAGATGATTCAGGTGCAACAGGGAACTTCCACTAAAGTATTTCCCTCAACAAAGGTGAACAACATCTCACTGTACACCTGAATAAACAATGGTTGTTATGATTTTGATAACTGTGTCACACTTCTTATCTGTCTTCTGTGTTTCAGGAGATAAACATAGGACAGACTCAGGCTCAGCCCTTTAGCAGTTGGCGTTTAGTAAAGCAAGACACAAACAGAGCAACAAAATACTCTGCAGGAAAACAGACATACCTAAGCCCCCTTTGTTTGACTGAGGAGAATCTGCTTTCCTCACATAACGAACAAGACAACCTACTGTTCTCAGCTACGGCAGGGGCTAATCTATTTCAGATAAATGGGGTGTGTTTGGTGTGGTATCTAGTACTAGGGGTAGAGGAGAGGCATGTAGGCACATAACGTGACATTTTGTCTTTCATACCCTGGCTCTGTGACTATGTGAAATTCTGGCATAATGTATATATGCCGGGTTTCTTGGTGTGGCTATTTCTGCCACCTCTATGAGTCAAATGTGCTGTTGCAACATGAACACCATCAACAGAATAGTCAATACACTTAGCAATTCCACGGAATGGTTGTCAATGACAATTCTCCAGCTCTTTCATTTTAGTGGCTGAGCCAAGGGAAATGGGGAAAGAAGATGTATATGTCTGTTTCATAAAAATGACATCTACATGTTTGGGAATTATTTAAAGAAGTATTTTGTGCTGGAGAACAATGGAGATTATTCATGGGGTAATGAAATGCTTTATTTATAAAAATGACTAAGTTAATGATTTTTACAAATTATATGCTTCCTAGCCCTTGTGAAGAATTACTACCTACCCACCTGATGATGTAACAATTAGCAATCCACTTCTGTTAATACTTTAAGTCATTTAATTGGAAGTGCTGCAATTCAGGTGTAGGTAACCCTGACTGGGCCCATTTTCTGGCTCACTAATTTCCCTAACCTCTTTCCAAGGCAAGGCAGAGATCACTGGGTCTAGTCTGTAATTTTCTTTCTGGGTGTTAGAAGTCTGGAATGCCAGTGGATTCACTTTTCTTTCAGAAGTAAGAAGAGAAAATGCAACTTAAATAAGATAATGTAGAGAGCAAATATATATTCTATAATAAACAGAGAACAAAGAGTAAAAATTTTAACCAACACTGAGGGGAAAACCCCCAAATTTCTTAGAAGATGTACTTATCAAAGAACAAGGTTTAAAGTTTTAAAACCAGAATGCCACATATGAATGAAAATTATGATTTAGAATCAAAATTTGTTTTTCCCTCTAGGCTTATTTGTTCTTTTAAAAATTAATAAATTCACAGCATTTGCAGCTAGGTCCTGATAAATACAAATAAATCTCATAAAATGGTTGAATTATTCGTATGTGTACTGCATATACACATGTTTCCATTGGGTTGGGACAATTACTGTTTTTACTTAATTGTAAATTCAAATAGTCGTGGTTCAGGAAGAAAACTTGAGACCTTAAAAATTATAGTTATGACCCATGATTTATCTTAGATGGAAGATTGAGAAAGCTGTGTCATCTAAAATATTGGTTTGTTTGTTTTGCTTCTTCTAATCAAAATATCATTTATTTTGAAATACAAGTTAGGAACCCCAGTTGACTTAGTAGAGATACTAAAAAAAAAGATAGACTAAAAAAACAGCCACCATTTTCCATTCTAAACTTTTCCTAGTTGGATAAACAAGGTAGGGTATCCCCCAAGCCTAGAATGCTCTCTGACTTCCTTTAAATCCCAAATAAATCCCGCCTTTTACAGGAAGTGTTTTCCAACTAGTCTTAATTCCAATGCCTTCTCTCTGTTAATTATTTCCTATTAAACCTGTATATAGCTTGTTTCTTACATATTTCTTTGCATGTTGTCTCCCGCATTCGATTGTAAGCTCCTTGAGGGAAAGAATTGTCTTTTGCTTCTTTTTGTATCCCTAGCACTTAGTACAGTGCCTAGAACGTAGTTAGAAGTTAATAAATGTTTATTGATTTATTGATTGATATAAATGAATCCCATCGCTTTGCTTTTGACACTGAATAGAAACAAACTTTCTGCTATAAGCAGCTAAGACATTAGAAGAGGTAATGTTTTATAATGGATAGAGTTGGCATCTGAGTCAGAAAGACTTCAGTCAGGTCCTGTCTCTGACAGATACTGGCTGCATGATCCTGGGCAAGTAAATTAAGGATCTCAGTGCCTCAGGCCCTGACTGGCTCAGAGTGAATGTAAATAGCAATTGTTTCTGTTTTGTCCAGAAAACCGGAGGGTCTTCCCCTCCCAGATTGATTTTTTTCTTGACTAGGTAAAAGAGATCATTCTTTGCCTCATTTCTTACCTAGCCTTAATCACTTATTGGGCATTGCCTCAGTCAAACTGAGACCTGTGAAAGACCTTAGCTTAAAAAGGCCAAAGTCTCCCACTGTATCCAGAGCCATCTCCAGTCATCCTGATCTATAGTCATATATCTTGTCAGTGGACCCAGATGGCCCTGGAGGAGAGAATGAGGCTTGGTAACTTTGCACAGCCCTCCCTCACTAAAATCCAATTCATTTGTATGTCATGGCATCACCTCCTTGATTTCATGGTCCTCTTTGAGAATGAAGGACAAACAACAACCCTGGTAATTCTTTAAGACTGTAATTTGTAGAGCAGGTACTGATATAGTGTGATAGAGGGAGTTCTCTCATCAGGATTTCACTTTACCAGTGAAATCACAGATCTAGTCTTTCTTAAGTCTACCCCCAAAGGGAAAGATTTCTTTCACTCAAGATATTCAAAACAATATCACTCAGGCTTTGAAGGCAGATATAGTAGAGAAATTCCAAAAAATGCTCTGGGTAGTGATCACATCTTTAGAATGAGTGCAACCTTAGTTTTATGAGTGTCTTGAAGGTGATAACACTATTGGACAGAGTAAAATCTGTACTGCCAGCAACTTTGGAAGAATGATTCATTCTGAATAACTGATCTTTCCGGGTAAACAAAGGTTTATTTCTTTGAGCAGAAAACTATAATAATAATAATAATAATAATAATAACAATTTTATGTGGAAATCTTTCTAAAATGTATCATATATTATTCTGTCTTAAATATATATAACATAATTTACTCCTTGATAACTTAGGTTCATTTTCTCAATGTTAATTGTACTATGATACTCTGTTGAGATGATTATGACTACTTGGGGCTATACTCAATGTTTCAGATAGCTGTGACTTTTGAGTTCTTGGGACTGTTTTTTTTTTTAAATACTGTGTCTTCTGTACTGCTAGATGCCTTTTTTTTTTTTGCTGTTGTCAGTGTACTTGCCATATGCAACCTTTTCATTGCCCTTCAATGTATAGGCTTGGAAACCAGTTCATTAGAATTTTGTGGGAGTAAACACTCTAAGTGAGGGCTTGAAGGGATCTTTGCAAAGTGTATGAATTGTAGTAGATAGGTTGTGTGATGTCTATTTTAGGTGTTCAGAGGCCTTTTTAAAACTTTATTTTCTTTACTTTGCTCTTGCTAGATCAGGTCATTGGATAATTCTGGAATATGAAAAGATCAGTCATATGACTTTCTATTTAAACCTTGTGTGGCAGAGATACTGCTGGGATGGCTGTTAAAGAAATAAGTTACTGTTACAGCTGATATGGAGGAGAAAAGCTCTGACCCCCTCCTACTCTTCCTACTTCTCTCCCTTTTCACCTTTTTACAAGGTGAAAGAGAGAAGGGCTTATGATATGCATCGGCTTGTAAGAGCAACAACAAAAATAGTATCCATCCTAGATTTCAGAGGGATAGCCTCTGACTTATTCCATGTTTTTCCTGGAAGGAAGGAAAGAGGTGATATGGCATAATAAATAGAATGCTAGAATTCCATCTCAAGCACTTACTAGCTGTGTGTCTCTGGATAAGTCATTTAATCTCTCTGTGATCAATGTTCTCATCTGTAGAATGCGGGTAACAGACTCAATAATATCTAAGGTACCTTCCAGCTCTAAATTTATTATCTAATGAGATTGACAGACAAGCAGGGAGGGAGAGTTAGAAATGATAAAATTAGGTGTATGCAAATACTTTGAGGAATAAACAAAAAATAGGTTCTTCACTGGCATAGTGAGGCAATTGATCCATGGAACATGAAGGTGTAGTCCAATTGGGAAGCCATTGTTGTCTGTGGACTCTTTGAGACTTTGATGTGGCCTCTTCAGGAATGAGTTGAGTAACTTGTCAACAGTTAGTGTGTTTATAGATTAACCTTAGGAATCCAGTGGCATTTCTCACAAAGATCTCCTTCCCTCTCCCAGATACCCGGAAGAACTATAATTATTATAGCACGTTGTCATTCACCAGTGACAAATACTACCATGAGTTTGATAAAGAAGCTACCACAAATTTCACAGAAATGAGTCAGAGGATAGAAACAATGGTAAGTCAGAATCTTCTTCCCTCTGCGTCACTTTAATTTACTTTGATTTACAGTAATACAATTAATACTGATAAGGCACTTGAACTGAGTTCTCCCTGGCAAGGTTGGAATGATTGGTCATTCCACTTGCCTACTCCTTTTCCTTTTTCCTTTTTCACTAATGGGGGATGATGCCCAATTGGGCTGCATAGCTGAGAGATATTAAAATGTGATTATGAGAGTGAAATTTATTTCTTTATTCCAAACTTTCTGAATGTCTTTCTCATATTAGCACAGAACTAAAGTTTCAGAATGTCCAGACAAACAGCTGATTAATATAAGAATATGAAAAATATAAGAATATATGTGGCATCGGAAGACCTAGATTTGAATTCTGACTCTCTAATGTTTACTACCTCTGTGACCATGGGAAAGTCACAAAATCTCTGGGCCTCAGTTTCTTTATCTGTAAAATGAGGGTGTTGGACGAGATGACCACTCTGGTCTCTTCTAGTTCCAAGCTGATGATTCTATGATCCTTCAGAATCAACCAATCAACAAGCATTTGTTAAATTCCTATGTGTTAGGTACCATATGGTAGGCAATGGTGTTATAATGACAGAATGAAACAATCTCTTCTCATAAGGAGCTTACATTCTATTGTGGGAGAGGGGAGGAGGACAGCATATAAATAAATAAATAAATCTTGCACAAAACATACAAGATAAGTTTTTTGGGGGTGGGGGTTGTTGAGACCATTAGCACAGTGAGGTTGGGGTGGGAAATCAAGAAATGCTTCATGTAGAAAGTGTCAACACTTGAGTAGAGTTTTGAAAGGAATAAGAGATTCTAAGAGGCAGTAGGAGAAAAAGGGATATTAGAATGGAGGACCCAGAGAAATTACTCCTGTAGGGCAGCTAAGTGGTGTGATAGATAGACCACTGGACCTGGAGTCAGGAAGGCCTGAATTAAATCAGATGCTTACCAGCTGTATGACCTCACTGAGTAAGTCACTTAACTACTATCTGTCTCTATTTCTTTATCTGTAAAATAGGATCATAATGTCACCTGCTTCCCAGAGTTGGTGTGAGGATAAATCAGATGATACTTGCAAAACACTTTGCAAGCTTTAAAGCATTAGTATGACCTAATTCTTTGATGGTTCTCCATTTCTATTTTGCTTTCAGGGTGACTTTCATAGGATCATAGATTTAGAGTTGAAAGGGGCCTTTGCAACAGGTAGTTTAGCCCCATCATTTTACTGGATGAGAATTGGAGATTGCAAGAGCTTAAGTGACTTGTCCAAGGATACCCAGTAAGTAGCAGAGCTAAGATTCAAACCCCAGGTCCTCTGACTCGAAATCTGGCATTCTTTTTTTTTAGGCAATTGGGGGTTAAGTGACTTGCCTAGGGTCACACAACTAGTAAGTGTTAAGTGTTTGGTCTGAGGCTGGATTTGGACTCAGATCCTCCTGACATCTGGGCTGGTGCACTATCCATTGCACCACTTAGCTGCCCCCGAAATCTGGCATTCTTTCCATGATGCTCTTCCATCTTCCTCTTTCTACAGTGGAATGGTCAGGGGCAGAGGTTATCATGGCCACAAGGTGTAACAAGTCCTGTGACCCTGATACCCATTGCCTATGGGATCCAGAGCAAATCACTCAACTCTATGAGCTTCACCTTCTTAATCTGAAACACGAGGAGCATGCTTACATTGCAAATCTCCCAAGGTTGTTGGGAGAAATGTACTTTGTCAACTGCTTGAGAAGTATGAATTGTTATTTTGGTAAACTTGGCAGGAAAGTGGGTAGCACTGATATGCCAAGCATGGATGCAAAGTTATTAAGGTGTACGCTTCTTGGTAATAGCATTAGCCTCAGAAGATTCTAAAATGACAATGATTTGGCTAGTACTAGTACAATGATATGGAAGTATTTCCAATGACTGTATAGAAATATGGATGGAAGTATATTATGAGTAATTCTATTAGGGCAAAGTTTATTATTGAATATGTTGTGAGATGGAGCAGCTAGGTGGTACAGTGGATAGAGCACTGGTCTTGGAATCAGGAAGACTCATCTTCATGAATTCCAATCCAGCCTTAGACACTTACTAGCTGTTTAACCCCAGACAGGTCACCCTGTTTCCCTTAGTTTTTCATCTGCAAAATGAGCTAGAGAAGGAAACAGCAAACCACTCCAGTGTCTTTGCCAAGAAAACCCCAAAATGGGATCACAAAGAGTTGGATGTGACTTAAATGACTCAATAACAATGAAATATTGCAGGATAGATTTTTCTTTTTAAGTTCCTAGGTCTTGGAACAGTTCCTGATGGAACTATAAAAATTCCTGTAAGGAGAAACACAGTGAGAGTTGATTGCAGTCAGGCTCCGTCTAGTGGCTGGTCTGGAAGATGATACAGATGCTCATCCTTAAACAGCGAGCATCTTCATAGGGAAGAGGACAAAGTGCTCCTTAAAACAAGTGAAAATTGTAACAGTTTAGAGTTGAACCTCAGAGTCTGATGACTTCTAGCCATCACCACACTAAACTGCGGGGAGCTTTGCTCTTGATTGGTGGTCTGTAGGATAGCTAGAATTTTTCTGGGGGGAGGAAAGAATAAGACCTCATTTATTTACCTACTAGGGCAGGAAAGGCACCTTATAGCCAAGTCTTAGCAGCATTTGGTAGTGGCAGTAAGGTGCTCATGATCTCTTTTATGTACTCCATGCAACACCAGAGGGCACTCTGGGGAAATTCAAAACACTGTATCTTTAGGATAGCTTGCCACCTCTATTCACTAAACTGCTTCTTTTGACAGTGTATGACATGTACAAGGTGCTTAACAAATGCTTGTTGATTGATTTTAAGGCTAACACTCCTCATTTAGTCTAAAAGTGTGATGTGTGTGTGAGTGTGTGGTGTGTGTAGATTTTTGAATTAGCCCCCACTAAGAGAAAACTGTTTCAAGCTTAAGTATATACAGTTCTTTACTCATACCACATGGGAAAAAGAATACATTAAAATAACTACTGCATAGGCTAAACATCTGTGGCTTCTCTGAGGCAGAGGCAGCAGCAATCTTTTTAGCCCATAGACAAGCCCCAAACTTAGGAGTTCAAGCCCAGTCATCTAGTTTGAGTGCTAAGATTCAGATTTCTGCTCTGATGCAAGGAGAGAATAATATTAGTCAATCACATCTGTTCCCAGTTATCTGTGTATTCTAGGTTCTTGTAGCTTCCATTCACTCACGTAATAACCATTTATTCAATGCCTACTATATACCAGACCCTGTGTTAAGTGTTGGTAATACAAAAAGAGGCAAAAGATAGTCCCTGCTCTCAAGGAGCTCACAACCTAATGGGAGAGAGGGAGAGTCAACAAGCAGATAAATATGTACAAACAAGATATCTATCTATATCTATATCTATATCTATATCTATATCTATATCTATATCTATATCTATATCTATATCTATATCTATATCTATATCTATATCTATATCTATATCTATATCTATATCTATATCTATATCTATATCTATATCTATATATGTGTGTGTGTATATATATATGTGTATGTATGTATACACACACATATAAAGGAAAAATAGGAAATAATTAAGAGAGGGAATGCACTAGAAATAAGAGTGGTTGGGAAAGGCTTCCTGTAGAAGATGGGACTTCAGTTGTTATTTAAAGGAAGTCAGTTAAATTTAGTTATGTACTCAGAAAGGACTTCCAGTGACTAAGAATTATGGGTTTACACCTTGGCCATAGCTATTATTTACATGTGAGCCTTATTATAATTTGCTCTAAGTTTAAGCTCACTCTTTTCCCTAGAGTTTGTTGGAACTTCTGGGATCATCTACTCCACACTTGGAGGGAGAAGTATTTTTGTGCCTGCTATTTTTGCTTTCTTTCTCAGTAAATAGCTTTTCTAAAAGCTAAAAACAAGCAAAAAAAAAAAAGGAAACCAGTAGGCAGAGATGAGGAAGGAAAGCATACCAGACGTGGGGGAATATACAGAGAAAATGCCCAGACCTGAGAGATGAAATATCTTGTTCTTGGAATAGCCAAAAGGCCAGTATTACTGGATAGAAGAATACATAGTGAATAATAATATGTAAGAAGACTGGAAAGGCAGGAGGGAGCTAGGTTATAAAGTGCTTTGAATGCTCAACAGAAGATTTTGTATTTGATTCTGGAGGCAATAGGGAGCACTGTAGTTCATTTAGGAAAAGAGTGATGTGGTTAGACCTATGCTTTAGGAAAATCACTTTAGTGACTGAATACAGGATGGATTGGCATGGGGAGAAACAAGGCAGGCAGACTGGTCAGCAGGCTATTGCCATCTTCCAGGTATGAGGTGATAAAAGCCTACACTAGAGTGGGTGACAGTGTTGGAGGAGAGAAGGGGGCATATTTGAGGGATGTCGCAAAGATGAAAGTAATAAGCCTCAGCAACATATTGAATATAAGAGTGAGAGATAATGAGAAGTCAAGAATGAGACCTGGATTGTGAGCCTGAAAGACTAAACACTGGGGTTACAAAGAAAGGCAAAAATCAGTCCTGTGTACTCCTGAAGCTCACAGTCTAATGGTATGAAAAACTTAAATGGTAAAGAAATGAATCCTTAGTCCTTTTGCTTTCTGTGTCAATCATGAAAAAGTTGGAATTCTTGATATCCTAACAGATCCAAATTGACTGTAGATTATATAGACATAGGAATATCTTAGTAGTCATTAAAATAATTTGGAGGAAATAAAAGCAGCAAAAAGGTCATGGGCTCTTCTTGGAGGATGTACTATGTGTTAAATTGGTTTTATTCTCAATTGTAGAACCCAACTTTCAAGTTCAATTAAATTAAACAAGTGGGGAGTCTTGAAACCAATTTGCAATGGTAGAGATTAGCAAAAAGCAAATTGTTTCCATTATCCATAAGCAGCATGAAATAATTAGAATTTAAGAACAAGACAAATATAAATTCATCAAAACCACTTACTTTCTGAAAAGGACTAGGTGAGGTGCTGAGGATACAAAGGTAAAAACTAACATAGTTTCTTCCCTCAAGTTAATAGGGGTATACATTTAATTGATCAATTAAGTATTTTATTATGGTTTAATAGGGAGATAATATGCATACAATTAAGTAGATATAAGGTAGAATGTGATGGGGCAAAGAAGAGATACAGGTGAAATGATTTAAGAAAATTTAGAGAGAATGAATGAATGAATAAATATAATTTATTAAGCAGTTAGTATGTGTCAAACAATGGACTAATCCTGAGGGTGAAATACAAAAGCAAGAGCCCGGCCTTAAAGAAGCCTACATTTTATTGAGGGAGATAAAAGAGAATGATGGGCTGGAGAAAAGAGTGATGGCTGGGAAATCACGAATATGGTAAGTGGAACAATGGAACATTCCATTAACACACATTTTCCAGAGGTGATTTGGTTACATTTCTTAGAGAAAGGGGTAGAAGTGGGAGTGTAGGTGTAGTGGTGTCATTTGGGTCGGGCTAAAAATAACCTGGTGTGAAGATAAGGGTGTTTGGTTTCTAAGAGATGAGAGAATTCATATTCATCTGGGAGAGAATCAGAAAAGCCTTTTCAAGCTAAGCTTTGAAAAAAAACAAGAGGCTTTTAATAGGTAGAAATGTGAAGGATGTGGTTTCTAGGCATGGAGGATGGCCTAAACAAATGCACAGAGGTAAGAGAACACAGGATATGGTCAGAACAATAATAGTGTTCCAGTTGGACCAGAATAGAGAGTGCATGAAGGAAGGTAAGCCTGGAAAGACAAATTAGAAGTTGATTCTGTAGGGTCTTAAATGTTAGGTAAGGACTTTATACTTTGTTCTGTAGGCAACCACAGAGTCATAGAATCTCAGAGTTGGAAGGCACCACAGAGGTCATTGATTTTGACCCATAGCTAAATAAGAATCTCCTCTACAATATACCCCCAAAGTGGACATTCAGCCTTTGCTTGAAGACTTTTAGTGAGGGAGAACCCACTACTTCTCAAGGAAGCCCATTCTACATCTGCATAGCTCTGTTAGGAAGTTTTTCTTCACCTACTTTTATCCTCTTGGGCTTAGTAGAACAAATCTAATCCTTCTTCCACATGACAGTGCTTCAAATACTTGAAGGACAGCAATCATACTCCCCTTAAATCTCCATGTTTCTCCCACATCTTCCCCAGGCTTCTTCCTTCAACTGATCTTCATGTGACATGAACTCAAGGCCCTTTGCCATCTTGGTTGCCTTCCTCTTAATGATCTTGGCTTATCAATGTTCTCCTTAAAATGTGGCACCCAGAACTGAACTTGGTACTCCATATGTGGTCTTACCACTGCAGAAGACAGTGGGACAGAAGACAGAAGACTTCCCTAGTCTTGGACCACTATGCTCTCTGTTTCTCTCATTTTCTAAAGTTGACTATCTTCTCTCAATAGTCAGACACTGAGAGTCTGGGAAGGATGAGGAGGTGGTCAGACCTGGGCATCTAAAGTTACTGAGGGGCTGGGGTATTTCTCTGAATTGACTCAATTTAAGAAGGGGCAGGGCAGAGGGAAGAAAAAGAAATTTACACGACAACTTCATTATACATTTAAAAGGAATAGCAAGTTGTACATAATCTATTTGTAGTTTCATGTACAATTATTTTATTAGGCTATGTTATGGAAATGCTTGCTTTATTCTATAAATTAAAAATAAAATAAATTAAAACCAAAAAGCAAAAAATTTAAAATTTAAAACAAAAGGTGGGGCTATGTAAAGTTGCCCTTAGGTAATTAATTCCCAGTCAATAATTCTTGATTATCAGGAGGCACCTGGAATTGTGGCTGCCAATGTTTCCGCTATCTGAAGCTGCCAAAGCTGCATCATCTCTGAATGTGGTTTTTCTCTCTCTAACTATGGTGACATGGGTTTTTTTCCTTCTTAGCTTCATTTCTATTTATTTATTTATTTATTTTGGGCAGTTGGGGTTAAGTGACTTGCCCAGGGTCACACAGCTAGTAAGTGTGAAGTGTTTGGTCTGATGGCAGATTTGAACTCAGATACTCCCGACTTCAGGGCCGGTGCCCTATCCACTGTGCCACCTAGCTGCCCCTTCTTCCTTGTTTTAGAGCAGGGGTTGTCCACCTGGGGTATGTGAACTTTCTAAACAAAATATTTTTCAACTTAATGTAATTGGTTTCCTTTGTAATCTCATACGTTTTGCAACATTTATCTGAGAAGGCAACCATTGGTTTCACCAGACTGCCTAAGGGGTATATGAAACACAAAGATTAGCAACCACTGTGCTAGCCTTATTCCAAGGCAGATTCAGAGTAGAGTGAAATGTGCCAACCTTGTTCAAAATGACCCAATGAGTTCTCTGTGATGCAATATGTATGCCAATAACCTCTTATTAACATTCTGAATGTTTCTGAAACAGGTTAAAAATGCATTTTCTCAATCCAGCTTAAGGAGAGAATTCATAAAGTCCCAGGTTATTAAGTTCAGGTATGTGGACATATAGAATTTTTCTTTGTATATGAAGATAGATGTTGATGTAGTCATTAGAGTGTGTTTGTATTGGAATATTTTTATAATATTGATATTGTGTTCTTATATATCACTCACACCCTCTAACTCCAATATCATGCATTCATTTTATGGGTGGCTGTTGTCAGAGGTACATTCTGTGGTCACAGCAGATTTAAAATTTTTTTTATTATGAGTGAAGCTAAGTATGAGTTATTGCAGTGTGGTGGAAAGCTCTTCCTCTTCATCTCCCCATCCTGGCTTCGCCGGCTTCCTTTAATTACTAGCTAAATCCTACCTCCTCAGGAAGACTTTCTTGATCTCCCTTTATTTTGATTTGTTGTTTAGTTATTTTCAGTCATGTCCAACTCTTTGTGACCCTATTTGGAGTTTTCTTTGCAAAGGTACTGGAGTGGTTTGCCATTTCCTTCTCCAGCTCACTTTACAGATAAGGAAACTGAGGTAAACCTTTTAGTTGCCTCCCTTACTTCTATTGCATTCTTTCTATTGCTTATTTTTAATTTTTCCTGTCTATACCTTTTTCGTACAGAATTGTTTGCATGTTGTCTCCCCCATTAGACTGTGAGCAAATTGAGGGCAGGGACTCTTACTGTTCTTTTTATATCCAGTATTTGGTACAGTACCTGGCACCTAGTAGGCTCTTAATAAATATTTATTAACTGACTGACTGAAAGACAACTGGAATTGGAGTCTGATAACCTGGCTTCTAATTTCAGTTTTATGACTTGGTACAGTGGAAAGTAGCAGCGAGGTGATCCAGCAGATAGAGAGCCTGGACCAGAGTCAGGGAGACTCATCTTTTTGAGTTCAAATCTGGACTCAGACACTTAGTAGCAGTGTGACCTTGGGCAAGTCACTTACCCCCATTTGCCTCAGTTGCCTCATCTGTAAAATAAGCTGGAAAAGGAAATAGAAAACCACTCTGGTATCTTTGACGAGAAAACTCCAAATGAAGTCACAGATAGTGGGACATGGCGGAAATGACTGAACAGCAACAACATAATAGAAAGAGCATTGACTCTGGGGTCAGAGGAGCTAGGTTCAAATCCTGCTCCTGATGCACATTACCTGTGTGACTTTGGGACAAGTCATTTCACTATCCTAGGCCTTAGAATAAAGTTATTGGGTTAGTGGACCTCTAAGATGTCTTCTAGCTCTAAATCTGTGATCCTATAAACTGGCTTAATATTGATCCAGAAAATAATCTAACACTCATTTACTAGTCAAATGAGTAAAGAAACAAAAGGAGAAGGCAGAGAAAAACAATAGCATTGTGTAGTGGAAAGAGCAGTAGACTTGAAAGCAGTAGACCTGGATTTCAATCCTAACTTCCAAATTAATTAACTGCCTAACTGTGGGTAGATCTCTCTTTTCCTCCATGTACTTTGGTTTCCTTGCCTGAAAATTACATTTGGACTATGTATTTCATAGGATTGCTGTGAGGGCTAAACAAAATAATGTATACTATAGTACAATACAAATGTTAGCTGTTAGTATTATTAGGGCCTTTATTCGCTTTCTGAATTTATTGTCTTGCTTTTGTCTTGCTTTGTTTTGTGTATTGCACAGTCCCCAGGATCCCGGAGTGGTGGCCCACATGCTGATGATTTTTAGATTCCCCTCTACTCAGAGTCCTGAATCTATAAAGAAAACAATTCAACGTGTGCTGCACGAGAAACTCCAACATGCAACTGGGCCCCCCAAAGTAGACCCTTCGTCAGTTGTGCTCACAAGCAAGTTTTCCAGTTTTCTGCAATTTACCTTTCTTGCACAGATCAGTATTAATTTTTGGTTTGGGGCATTTTCCTTTCCTCTCTTCTCTTTCTTGTATAGTCTAACCAGCTCCTAAAATGAGATTGCACAGTAAGTACCCTCATACTTCTAAAATAGGATAGCGCTCAGTGCTGCTCTTTAGCTTCCAAAGACATCTGACAGAGTATCCTTCTCATGACTCTGGGTAAGATTATCTTGTCCATCACCCATAGAAAATGACTAGAAATAGTACAAGGGGATCGTCTTCTTACCATGATTCTCTCCTATCTTAGGCTACTATGAGTTCTTCTGAAGTTGTAATAAGTCAAAAAGACTTCATCTATTCACCTCCCTTCTAAAATAAATGTAGTATTAATATACAAAGCACTCCACAAGTACATGTACATATACATACGTGCATACATATATAAACATACATACATATTCACATATACGAATAGGGAATAAGAACTAGACCCATGATTTCAGTGGTATAGGAAACTCCCAGGTAAGAAAGTTTCCTCTACCAGTGCAGGTCAATATCCTCTCTAAAATTCTTTACAACAAAAGTTACCTAGATCCCTGAGAAGTTAAGTGACTTAACCAGGGATATACAGCCAGTATGTGTCAGAGGCAGAACTTAAATCCATATCTTCCTGGCTTTTCTAGTCATTCAGCCTACCACATTGCCCTCCTCCTTCTTTCTCTCTCCTCTCACCTTCTTTCATTCTCTCTGTCCCCCTTTCTCTCCTTTCCTTCTTCACTTGTGTGCATGTGTATGTATGTAATGCAGTATTGATATGCCACACTCCCTTGATCGTAGTTTGGCAGTTAGTCAACAAGTATCTATTGCTATGTGCCAGACACTTTGATAAGCACTGGGAAGACAAATACAAGCCAAAGGAATTTACAATGTTTCAATCGATTCGAAATTCATTTAAATGTGATGGATCTTAAATTATTTTAGATTAAGGAAAGACCAAATTGAGGAAGTCACTATTTCCTTAGTCACATTGTAGTAGAAATAGAACTTCCAGGGAAATAGAAAATACGGATTCTGGTCCCAGCTCTGAAGTTGATTAGCTATGTGGCTTGCGAAAGTCACTTCAACTTCTCTGGGCCTCAGTTTTTTCATCTATAAGATGAGTGAGTTTGGACTGAATATCCTAAAACTGCTTTTAGTTCTATAATTTATGTTGCAATTAGTGTGCAATTTGGGGAAATAATTTATTCCTTTGTGTGAAACACTGAGTAATCACATGGCTTGCCAGATGAGTACCATTAAAAATTTTGATGGAAAACCGTTTCAGATGTGGGCTTCTTATATAGTGTCATGGGATTTATACCTGGAAGGAACCTTATAGGCTTATAGATAATTTAATTCCCCTCTTTTACAAGTAGGGAAATTGAGGCTGAGAGGGACATTTACTTGCCCAGTGTCACACAGATGATAAATATTTAGTCTGGGATTCAAATATAGGTTCTCTAACTCTAAATGAAGCGCATTTTTCATGGCACCCTGCTATGCCATGCTGCCTCTCACCCTAATAACTCACATTGAGAGATAACCTTCTAGTTTACAAAGTATTTTATCTATATTATTTCCTTTGACCTTCACTAGAACTCTGTGAAGTACATAGTGATTCAATCTTTGCGAGGAGGTAGTTTAAATAGCAATTCTGGTGAGGACTGAGTAAATATTTTTGCCTCTGATCAGAAGGAAACTGCATCTGTGGGTACTTTTCTTGGGAATTCTTATAAGTTATTATGTCAGGCATATTTATATTGGCTACAGGTTATAGTTTTGTGGGACAGGCCTGATTTAAAGAAAATAAAGTGGTTTTTAATCAAATATTGCAAAAAAGGAGTATTCTTCACCAAAGTCTAAGTCCCTGCACAGAAAATGTCACTGTTCATGTATACCCCTATCATCATGAGAAGGTGACTTGAGTTTGCAAGTTCTCATATTTGTGATGTTACTGGTGACTGGAGGCCCATAAAAGGCAGGTTCCCTAAATACAAATTCCAGGGATCTAGAGAAATCAGGGCTCTGCTCTTCTATTCTAGATTTCCCTAAGTCCCACAATAGATCAGTTATAGTCACAGAGATCAAGAGGTAATTGATTTAAAAGGGTTTGTAAGATTTCCCACAGATTTTTCCCTCCTTCTCTCTCCAAAACAGGGGTTATTTCTTCTACCCATGGGGACCCTGAACCAGCATATCTTAGGGATTTTGAAAATCCACTGGGACCAGTTCCTTCCTCTGAAATGATATCTGAGACCCTGTGGCTAGGTCCTCCCAGCTACAGGATAGGTATAGTAATTTTAGGGAGAAGCTGTATTCCTGAATTGAACCACCAAATTGTAGCCTTTGACTAGTCATACGAATCCTGCTACGTCCAGCTGATGTTTCTTAAAAATGTAAATTAATCCGTCAGTCAGCAATATGCGCCTTTAACAAGTGTCTACTATCAATTTTATTCTTAACTTACATAATAATTTTAGGCATACTTTGCCATTTAATTTCTGCGTAAACGTCATTCGGTAGTGGCTGTTAGCAATTTAGCTTTAAGTTTTTTAGCTTTTCTGTCAAGAAATCAGCAGTTATAAAAAAAATCAGTAGCTATAAAATAACATTTTGAGGAGCTCTTTTTTCAGGACACCTATAGAGAATAATATTGTAAGGTTAGTTCAGGCTCTCATCATCGCTCACTTACATTACTGCAACAGCCTTTTAATTGGTCTCTCTGCCTCAAGGCTCTTCCCACTCCAACCTACCCTCCATACTGTTGCCAAAGTAATTTTCCTTAAGTATACATTTGATGAGATGACTTACTCAACAGATTCCAGTGGTTTTCTATTAACTCTAGGATAAAATATAAACTCCTTTGTTTAGCTTTTAAAGCTCCATGCAACCTGGCTCCAACGTATCTTTCTAGACTGATTGGACAGTATTCCCACTTTCAGATTTGGGAATCCAGCCAAACTAGCCTTCTCTACTCCTTACAAAAGGAACCCTCTATCTCCCAGTTCCATGCCTTCATGTTAGCCATTTTATGTGCCTGGAATGCATTCCTTCCTCACCTCTGCCTCAGCATCCTCTTCCTTTAAGATGCAACTCAGGCAACATCTTCTGCGTGAAACCTTTTCTAATTTCCCCAACTGCTACTCCCCTTCTTCTCATACTACCTTGTATTTAACTACTTTTTATATTTGCATTTATTCATTTTATATTTAGTCTGTATATATTTATATAGATATACTTGTTGTCTACCCCTTAGGATGTAAGCTTCTTGCAGGTAGGGATTATTTCATTCTTTGTACATAATTATATCCTTGCACAGTACCTAGGACAGTGTCTGGCATCTAGTGGCTAAATAAATTCTTGTTGATTGATTGATTCATAATTTTATTTCTTCAATTCTTGCATAAGTATTTTTAAAAGCAGTTAATTTAATTTAGAAAGTTCTGAAGTTTATGCTCCTTAGCCAGAAAAAATAAGCAAAATACACAGTTGCCTTCCACATAACAGATTCCAGACAGTTTTTTTTTTTTTATCACTTAGCCTTTGACTTGCAATGGAAGTCCCATTAGGTATTCAACATTTCTAAGTAAACTCAAAATGATCAGATGTGGTACAATGGAAGTCTGATGTCATTTTGCTCTGTGTTTCTGTGTATTTCAGATATCAACAAGACAGAAACAGACAACTATTTGAGTAACTGTAAGTTCAAGTTATTTATTAAAAGCAGCCAACAGAATTGTCTTAATATAAAACAAAATTTAAGGATGTATGGCTTTCTCTCTTTGAATTGGGCCTAGCTTTGGGATGTTATCTTGGGTATGGAACAGGTAATTGCTCTGGTTTGTTATACTTCTTGTGAGTAATCAGAAACAATTTGGTTTAGTAGTATAGTCACTAGAAAGAGCTACATGCATGTGGGATGGCATCAAAGCACCGTGTTGACCTTAAGGAGTGACTTCACCTACTATGAAATGCTATAATGATCCAGACTATGATTGGGTTGGCTGATATGACTTCCATTCCAGTTAATTATCCTCTCCACAATTATTATGAGTCTATAGAATTTGGAATGAATAATGGATTTGACATCTTCACTTAACTGCGTATGTTTTCTTCCTCCTAAAGAGTTATTTTTAGGAGTATCTTTGGAGAGAACATAGCACCAGGTGTTATTTATAGGGATAGGGATCAGACCTATAATTTCATTGGCATAGAGGAGGGAGATTCATTTCTTATCTCTGTGGGAGATGTAGGTTGGCACCTTCTCTGTAATTTATAGTTTCAGAAAGTTGCCAAGAGCCCTGAAAGGTTAAATAACTTGACCCAAATAACATAGGTAGCAAGAGCCTGAGGTGGGACTTAAACCCAGGTTTTTCCTAGTTCTGAGGCTAGCTTTCTAGCCATTATGCCACATTTCCAATCAAGAGGTTAGCCCCTATATCACTGGCAAGTATTATGTCTTACTGTTCCTGGGAGGGTGGGGGAGGTAGATAAACTATTAAGCAGGAAACTCTATTAAATACTATTGCAAACATTCTCTAAAAATGATTTGACAGCGGGGCAATGAATTCATATCTTTGTTCTATTTCTGGGCCACCCTTGCCCCCACAAATGCAGAGTCTCCATGCTAGGCCTTTAATCCCATACTCGCATAGCTGGTGCCATTTAAAATGCTTTCAACTGAATGTCTGAAAGCCTCAAAGAAATCCTTGTATTCATCCCCAAATTCTAGATCTATACATATCTCCCACATGAGTGTCCCCATACTTTAGTTCAATGATTCAGAAACTATGTTCAATAGGTGAGGAATAACAGCACATTAACACACTCTGCCTAAAAGCTGTCCTTCCTTCCTTTGTCATGGAAGGTATTGGAATCAGGGAGGTGGTGAGTGTGGGCAAGCTCTTTTGGCATGGTTTTAGCAGTCAGGCAAATTGGCTGCTTTATAACATTACCAGGCTGTATCTAAGGAGGTGTATATATGTGGGAAGCAAACAAATTCCAACAACCTTTCCTGCCCCTGCTACGCAAAACCACAAAAGAACAAAAAGCAAATTCCTAGATAGTAGTATATAAAAGAATAAAGTTACAATGCTCAAAAATGAAGAAAATCTAACACCCCTTCTCTTTGTGACAGGCTGCGGAACACGGATGGGTGCAAGCTTTGGCACAAGTGACAGGATAGTTGGAGGACAAGAAGTAGTGCAAGAAGGTGAATGGCCCTGGCAGGCCAGTTTGAGGTGGAATGGGGTTCATCGTTGTGGGGCAACCTTGATCGGTGCCACGTGGCTCGTCAGCGCTGCTCACTGCTTCAGAAAGTAAGTCCAGAGACTCCCCTTGGAATTGAGTGAGTGAGAAAAGAGTGGAGTTTCACTCTGAGAAGAGGGAGGATCATTTTGAAGCCTAGATGAATTAAAGTTAGATGCGTTTTTTAAAAGGACTTCTTTATCTGAACAGGGAGTAAAGGATGGAAATAAAAAAAGATTTGATACAAATTCATGGATGATGAATTGTAAGTGGCTTGTTAATTGAAACTAGGTTGTCTTGGGGACATTCTTAACTGCTGATGTTAATGGAAGAGACAAACCTAAGCTTCTACAGGTCTGTTGGTACTATCAGAAGAGACAGACAGCTGAATGGAGTATGAATTATGCTGAATGGTAGAGATACAAATACAAATAGCAAGATTATTTCTGCCTTCAAGGGGCTTACATTAGAAAGCAGAAGACTAGCATGGTAGGGTTAAGAGCAGAAAGAATCAATTTCTCCCTTTTTGCATATACAATGTGTGTTCTGCCCACATGTTTTTGAGGCCACATAACGTTATATGGAGATGAAAGGAGCCTGATAGTTCAGGTGAGAAGACAATGAAGTTCTTGGAAGCATATTGCTGGAATTACCCCATAAATTGACTCTATAATCATCCCCCCTTCTATCTCTTCCTAACCAATGGAGGCTGAGGGAAGTGTTTGTTTTTGTGGATTGAAATTTAGACTTTCAATAAAAGAACAAGGTATTTGAACCCCTATGAAGTGAAGTGTGCTATTATAAAGTAGTGGCAGCTCATGGAAAGTGCTTTTCATTTCCTTTTTCAGTTACAAGGACCCTGCCCAATGGACTGCTTCTTTTGGTGTGACAATAAATCCCCCCAAAGAGAAACAACGCCTCAAGAGAATTATTGTTCATGAAAACTACAAGTACCCATCTCATGACTATGACATTGCTGTTACAGAGCTTTCTAGACCTGTAACTTACACTAATGCTGTGCATCGAGTGTGCCTCCCAGATGCATCCCATCAAATTAATCCAGGTTCTGCAGCGTACGTCACAGGATTTGGAGCACTCAGGAATGATGGTGGGCACTTGAACAGAAACTAAATGTGCACTAGTAGAACCTAATACTCTAAGCCACTGATAGGGAAGAATATAATGGTGCAAATATAAAATCTGTTTGGCTTTTAAAGCCCTTTACAATTTAGCCCCTTTTTTCCATTCCAGTTGTTTTAACCCTTTATTCCCTTCCATGTACTTGATGATCCAGTGACATTACCCTTCTTTCTGTTCTTTCCACACCACACTCCTATCTCCTAACTCAATGTCTTGTGATGGGCCTTTAGTCTTTCTTTTTTTTTTTTTTTTGGTCAAGCAATGGGGTTAAGCGACTTGCCCAGGGTCACATAGCTAGTAAGTGTTATGTGTCTGAGGTCACATTTGAACTTAGGTCCTCCTGAATCCAGGGTTGGTGCTCTATCCATGTGCCACCTAGCTGCCCGTGATGGGCCTTTAGTCTATGCTTGATGTGCTTTCCATCTTTGCTTTTCCTGGCTTCCTTCCAAGACTCAGCTAAAATTCCAACTTCTTCAGAAGACCTTTCCCAATTGTCCCTTAATGCTAGTGATTACCTCTGAGATTTCCTCCCGTTTATTCTACATATATCTTATATGTATATAGTTGTTTCTATGTTATCTTCCCCATTAGAATGTAAGCTCCTCAAGGGCGGGGGCTATTTGTTACCTTTCTTTGTACCCCCAGCACTTAGCACATAGTAAGTTCTTATTTACTTAAGCACTTAAGAAGTACTGGCTTAAGCACTATACCACAGGCTTGGGTATTACACCATAGTAAACACTTAATAAAGGCTTGTTGACTTTATCTGATGCCAAGCTTTGCTGGTCAGCCAGTGGATTGGGTTAAAATCAGGCTTGGGAGTAAGTTGGGGAATTAAGGATGAATGTCCCTAAGCTTTTCCATCACTATGATACCACATTGCTGCTGTAGTAGACATTCATTCAGTGAGCATTTACTAAACAGCAGTCTACTATGTGTGATTCATATTAGCAACAGGGCAAAAATAATGGATTGAATGCTGGACTTGGAGTCGTGAAGGCACTAGATAGCTACGTAATTCTGATCAAGAAACTTCACCTCTATGTGTTTCAGAAAGTTTCTTGGGCCTTCTCTACTAAGTCATAGACTATAGTCTACACTGGAAGAGGGAGTACCCATGATATTGAAATCTCCCATCCATCAGGTATTTGAGTACCTGTAGCTAACTGTGCCGAGTGCTAGAAGATAAACAGACAAATGAGACCTGCAAACTCTAAAGGGGAAATGATGTACACAGATAAAACACAAGTAGAATACAAGAAAGGCAGCTGATGGTACAAGTGGATAGAATGCCTGGCCTGCAGTCAGGAAGACTCATCTTTGTGACTTCAAATATGGCCTCAGACACTAGCTGTGTGACACTGGGCAAGTCACTAAACTCAGTTTACCTCAGTTTCTTCATCTGTAAAATGAGCTGGAGAAGGAAATGACAAACCATTCCAGTATCTGCCAAGAAAACCCCAAATAGGGTCACAAAGAGTTGGACGTGACTGAAAATCACTGAACAACAAAAAGAGTGCAAGTGGGCAAGAGGAATTTCAAATCTTATGAAATCAGATAAGGGAGAAATAATTAACATTTGGGGAATGTGGAGAGCCCTTCATTTAAGAAGTAAGATTTAAGGGTAGTATATCACCAGGCAGAACAAGACGGAGGGCATTCCATTTGAAGGAAGTCATGTCAGCAAAAACAGAGGTGGTAAATAATGGGATGCATTCAGGCAAAAGTAAATGATCTTGATTATCTGGAACAAAGAATAAATTGGAGAGAAGAGTGACACAAAGAGAAAGGTAAATTGTAGGCATATTTTGGAGATACCTAAATGTCAGGAAGGAGTTTGGGAAATTTTTCCATAGATTTTTGAGCAATGGATTGAAATGATCATGCCTATGCATCAGAAAGTCCAATCTGGCCATGTGGTATGAACTGAATTGAAAGAAGAGATTAAGAGAGGAATGGCTATTAGGAAATGATTGTGATATTTAAGCAAAAGGTAAGGAGGTCCTGAACTAGAATCAAGGCAGTAAAAATCATGAGAAGCAGGAAGAGAATGAGGAAATTATGGTGTCACAGAAGCCAACTGAGTACTCTAGGCTGGTGACCTTGACATGAATTCCTGGAAAAATATTAGAACAGTTTATTCCAGGTGTGATTTGTGAGCACTTAGAGAGAGACAGTGGATTCCCTTGTTTGTTCATAAGAAGTCACACAAGAAATGCCTCATCTATTTTGACAGGATTACTAGACTAGTAGATCAACAGAATGTGAACAATATAACTTGGATTACAGCAAGAAAAAATGGAAAGGTAGACAAAATTGGATGATGATAGGTGGGTCAGACCCCACCTGACTGGAATGACTGGACCCAAATAATTAAAAAAATATTTTATTGATGCTTAACAAAATATTGCTGTTACTTCCCAGTGAATTTTTCTCACATACTCCACCCCTACAACAAAGAAGTATAATTGTACCAAATAATCAACATATTTTCCTATCAGACCTAAATAATTTTGACTGATGGATGGCTCTTAATCCAGATGGAATTCTCTAATAGAATGCCATATTCCTCTGTTCTTCACCCTATTTTATTTATTATTTTCGTCAATAACTTGAGATGAAGGCACAGCTGATATCAATTATCAAAATTGTACATGACATGAAGCTGGAACGTGAAATGATAGAATGTTGATTTTTGTTGTTGTTCGGTCTTTTCAGTCATGTCCAACTCTCTGTGACCCTACCTGGGGTCTTTTGGGCAAAGATACTGGATTGGTTTGCCATTTCCTTTTCCAGCTCATTTTACAGATGAGGAACTGAGGCAAACAGGGTGAAGTGACTTGCCCGGGGTTACACAGCTACGAAGTGTCTGATGCCAGATTTGAACTCAGATTTTCCTGACTCCAGGCCCAGAGCTCTATCCACTTTGCCACCTAATTGCCCACAATGCTGATTTAAAATACCCAAATAGATAGGTCTCACTCTGTCATTTCCTTGCTCAAAAAGCTTCAGGGGCTCTCCTTTGCTTAAAGGATAAAATGTAGGATCCTCAGTCTGCCCTTTAAGGCCTTGTACAGTCTGACTTTAACCAACCTTTCTATCCTTATTTTTCTCTCTTTGCCTTCATGTATTCTACATGCAGAAAAAGTGTCCTGTGGGCCGATCTTCATATCTCTACTTGTTGAAATTCTCTTCTTTCTTAGTTGAAGAACTGAAGATTTTATCATTGAAAAGACTTAAGAGGCACATTACAGGTATCTTCAGGTACTCTGAGGGCTGTGAAGTAAGAGAGGTTTAGATATTCTGTTTGGTCCCAGAGGGCAGAGATAGGAGCAATGGGTAGATGCTACAGAGAGTGAGGTTTAGAAACAACTTTCTAACAATTAAAGCTTTCCAGAGGGTGAATAGGGCTCCCTCTGGAAGTCAGGTTCCCCTCACTAAAAGTCTTCAAGCAAAGGCTGAATGACCACTTGTCAGGTATGGCATCAAGGGGTTTTTTGTTAAGACAAAGATTGATCTAGATGACCTCACTGCAATTCTGTGACTCAGGCACCATCTCCTCCTCAGAGCCTTCCCTGACTCTCCTCAATGAAAGTGATACCTCCCACCTCATATTTCTTATAACACTTTGTCTAGATGCTTCCTTTGTACTTATACCATTTTGCCAATAGCATACTTCTTTTTGTTCATGTCTTATTCCCTCTTCTAGAGTGTAAATTTGGCCGAAAGGAGAACAACCTCTTAATGATAGGACAATAGTAGGAACTGATGGAGGAAGACACAGAAAGCATACATTCTTTGGGAAGAGGAAAGGAACAACATGTACATGGAATATTATTTATGAAATATGTACAGGATAATTTGTGATCAGAGGGCACCAAACTATTAACCGGTCACTAAGTTTAGAATGGGAGAAAATACTATTATAACTGCGTTTCATTATGATGTCTAGATGGCAACCTAACATGGCTAATACATATCCTACTGTAATTGCATTGTCCTGATGGGTTTAATTAAAATGAGAATTCTTTCCTAGGCATCCAGCTATTTTATTTAGACAAGATTGTAAATTAATGGTGCTGTCCCCTGTTACACATTGTCCTATCTGGAAAAAAATAGGTGCAGAAACTGAATCACCTTTTTGATCTATGGTCATACAAGACATGTATCTGAATATCCATTTCTTTTTTTTGGTACCTCTAAATACTAACATCATTTTACCCTTTCCTTGACTTTAGGTAATAGTGTAAACCGTCTTCAGCAAGTAAAAGTGAATATCATAGACACTAAAACATGCAATGAGCCACAAGCTTACAACAATGCTATTACCCCTGGAATGATATGTGCTGGCTATTTGGAAGGAGGAAAAGATGCTTGCCAGGTAAACTAAAGTGCTTTTACATGCTACCATTAGAGACAGTAGATATTTTGTAATTGGCAAGAGTAGATATTTAGTGCATGCTTGGGTCTGCATAATTATTTGAACATCCTTCATTAATCTCTTGCATTTCAATGTCAATATAAAAAGTAGTATAGAAAACATTTGGTGTAGTAGGGGGAAAGGAGCCTTCCATTATATGTAAATGGAAGCAGGATCACCAAGTAATTATAACCAGGAAAAATATACTACATGCTCTTTCAAAACTCCCCTGGAAAGGAAGATCTAAATGCTCTCTAAGATCCATGACCTCAACCATTATGCTAGAATATAACACCTTTTGAAGATTTAAAATTCAATGCTGCCCTCCTATGATCACAACTTTCTTTACCTACTGCCTCTCAAACTCTCTCACTTTACTGGGGCCATTAGCTCTCTTCTGGCTTCACTAGACTCCATTCAGACCCTTGACACCAGGGTCAGCTACTTTGTGGCTGCTCCCCACCCCCAGCCCCATTATTGTTAAGCTCCATATCTATCTTGATACAGTCAAGCTCACTGTGCAAACCTCCAGAGGTGAACCACTCCCACCATTTTGCTGCTTTCTCTACTCCTACTCCTTTGGTTATCAAGGTGAACCACTCCCACCATTTTGCTGCTTTCTCTACTCCTACTCCTTTGGTTATCAAGGTGAACCACTCCCACCATTTTGCTGCTTTCTCTACTCCTACTCCTTTGGTTATCAAGTGCTGTTAGAGGAGGAAAATACTCTAGTGACTTAACTTACAACAAATTCACACTGATTTCACTTAGCCTTCATCTCTACTTGGCAACACTTTGATCAGCCGCTTGAGCACTGCAAGATTCTTTCCTCATGCAAGCTATTTCCAAAATTCTTTTCTCTTTTCAGTCCTCTTCTCTCCATGTTAGTTTTCAGCAGATCCACTTTGCTATGCTCTTACTGAAGAGATTTAGACTGTCTTGTATAAGCCATTTCATCTATGCTCATTTCACCTTGCCATCTTTCTACATTTATACTCTCTTCTTTGGCACAAAGCAATGGCATTCTTTTTAAAAAATTTCATTGCTATAATTTTTTTTAAAATCACCAATATTTCCCACTTCATACCATCCCTCCCCACCAATCTCTTATAATAATGAACTATTTAAAAGAAGAAAGAAACAAATTCCTCCCCCTCCCCCTACCTCCACCCAACCTCCATTAGTAAGTGTCAGAGTTAGCCCAATCTCATGATGAAGTGAGTCATACTAAATGCTTTTGAAATTGATGCATGATAGAAACTTCCTGACAAAACTTCTTTCTGTAAACTGAATTACTAATTTCATTTCTCCCGCTTTTTCCCTAGGGTGACTCTGGTGGACCTATGGTCAGTTCAAATTCTAGAGACATCTGGTATCTTTATGGCATAGTGAGCTGGGGTGATGAATGTGCAGAACCAAATAAGCCAGGTGTCTATACTCGAGTGACTGCTTTTCGTAACTGGATTGAAGCCAAAACTGGTATCTAAGAGAGAAGTGATTTGTAAAGTGAAATGCAGAGTGGACCATACTCACCCCAAACAATCCATATGTATTGGTTATGCTATCTCTATAAAGTTTCTGTCTTTGAGATTTTGACTTAAGGCCATGAATCTCAAATGGCAGTATGAAGAAATTATTTCCATCCATTCTCACAGATTGTTGCATTTTCTGCCTTTGTAAAGGCAGTGAACAATCAAAAAAGACAAAATAAACCATTTTTTGCCTTAAAAACAAATGTGTATATATGTACATATACATATACAGAGATATGTGCTGTAGAATTTTTTTCCTATCTGAACGAGGTCAGAGCAAAGAGTATCATAAGGAATACTATTGTGCCATAATAAGCAATGAAAGGGACAGTTTTAGAGAAACCCAGGAAGATTTATACGAACTGATACAGAGAGAAGTGAGCAGAATCAGAAGAACAATTTATGCTATAACAACAACATTGTAAAATCAAATAATTTTGAAAGACTTAAGAACTCTGAGCAACACAATGACCAACTGTAATCTAGAAGGCTGATGATGAAGAGAGCATCCACCTCATGACAAAGATGTGATGAATCAAATATGCAGAATGAGACACATTTTTGGACAAGACCAATGTGGGAATTTGTTTTGCCTGACTACGCATTTTTGTCATAAGGATTGTCTTTTTCTTTTTTTCTTCCCAGTGGGAGAAGGGAGGTGGGAGGGAAAGAAAAATAATGTTTGTTAATTGAAAATAAAGTTATTTTTTAAAAAAAAAGTACCATAAAACATGGATTTAGTATTAGGAGAGAAAACATAGGAGATAATAAAAGCAATATGTAAGTAAGCTTAAGTATTTATATTTCAGCAGATCCACCATTTCATCAATGTAGACAATCATTCTACCCATGCTATCTTCCTAACCCTATTCTCAGTCCTCCCATAGCACATCTAACCAATTTATTGGAAGCCTCCCTTTAGGTCTTTTAACATTCTGTGGGGCTCAATAAAGCACCCAGACTCTGCATACGTTATTTCTTACTATGTAACTGGCCAAGTTCCTCCTGCAGTCACACATATATTGGATGATAACTTCTCGTGCAAGAGGAGCATGACATAGCGGATTCAGAATTGGCCTTGTAGTCAGGAATACTAGGGTTCAAGTTCTCCCTGTAACACAAACCAGTTGTGAGACCGTGGGAAACTCATTTAACTTCTCAGTGCCCAGGGGAGCTCTAAAACTATAAATTGCAAGAAGGTACCAATCTGCATTAGCAGAGGAATGACCAGGATTTGCTCACAATAATGAAATCATAGGTCTAGTCGTAAATGTGTGCAAACATATAAAAATGAGCATATGTATATTTATACACATATACATAGATGTGTGTATTTATGATACAACATTGTGTAAGTACACATATGCATATAGCTGAATAGATGAAGTAAACCGTGTGTATGTATATACATGTTTAAATAGAAATGTGTACATTTTTCCTAAAGTCTTAGTGCAGTTTTTAAGTTTTATAATTTCAAAAACTTAAAAGCTGTAAGCTTATTAAAAACATTTAAAAAGTTAATTATTTGAATTTAAAAATATTTATGTATTTCTTATTAAATTTCAATATAACCACATCTTATACTATATATTACTCTAGCTGGTGTTCAAACTTTGTAAAAACTTTCATCAGCAGCTGCTCAGTAATCCTAGCCTTAAGAACATCCAGAGAATGAGATTTTGATGCATACTTGACAGTTCTGATATAACTCCATAAGGAAAAGCCTGTTGTTGTAGCCTTGAATTCAGCTTGCCAGAGAACATAATAGACTTTTTCTTCAATGTTTGTCATCTCCAATCAGAACAACTAGAGAAAAACAAAATAAAATTTTGATTATTAAAAATTCACAAAACTAAATAAGTGTGAAAATTTAAATAAGTAAAATTTCAAATCATGCTTTTTTTTTTCAAGTTTATAGACTTTATGGTCCTGAAATTCGTAAAGGTTAAAACTGCATTAAGACTTTTGGGTCATGTTGTGTACACACCATTTGCTTCCTCTATGCAGATGTATAAAAGTTATTGAATGTCAGGATGTATATTTACTTAGTTTAAAGGAATTTCTGAAATTCTTCCAGGGCAATATGATCTCATAGGCACTGAGCCCAGGACCTAAAAACTCTAAAGACTTATGGAATTTGTTTTTCTTGAAAAAAAATTTGCATGTCAAAAATTGTAACATTTTCCTTGATGTACCTGTATGCATATAGCTACGTATATACACATAGTAAGAATAGGATTCTTATTTATTTTAAAACTCTTTCTCCCCCCCACACATACACATGCACATGCGTGTGTGCGTGTGCACACACATTTAATTAGATGTATTCTATTGAAATTAACTAGTTCTTAAAGTTCAGTTTAAAATGCTATTATAACTGCAAAGAAGCAGTTTTGCATAATGGATAGAGGACTGTTTCTTGGAATTAGGAAGAACTAGGTTCATGTTCTGTATCTGACACATACTAGATCTGGGATCCTGTCACATCATTCAATTTCTCAGTGCTTCAGTTCTCTAAGATCTTAAGTTCCAGTCAATTCCTGGTAGGAAGTTTCCACAAACAGAATTCTCTAAACCAATAAAAACACAGGTCTAGATCCATCCCCACCCAATTATACTGTAACTATTAATATAAGTTTTTTTTTAAACCAATAATAATGTTGCTTGGGCCAATAATGTATTTTTAATATTAATTAAGAAACAACTATTTGCTGCATATTGCATCTGGCAGTCCTTGATAATGGTGAGAATAGGAAAACTGGTCCTTCCTTGACCAACCAATTGTCATTCCTCCTGGCCATGGTTAGATTTAGAACATGTGAGGACATCTGAGGGTTACATTGAATTGAAGGGAGACAGAGAAAAGGAGAGTGGAGTTGTTAGATTGTTTTAAGCTCCTTTGAGGAAAGAATATCATGTGCTCATTCACCATCTCATCATACCATGGGTACAATTACTAATTTATATCCTCAACAAGCAGCAAAATGTCTCTCATTCTTTAATCTTGGAAATCAGCAATCCAAGAAGGTCTGGAATTTTATAGTTTTATAATGGAAGGTGATAATCTGGGGAATGATATTTTGTTCCTCCTTTGGCATCTAGGTCATTCATTGGTTAGAGGGCTGAATATGGAGTTGGGAAGACCTGAGCTCAAATCAGGCCTCAGACGTTTGTTAGCTGTCTGTCCCTTGGCGAGTCATTTAACCTCTGCCTGTCTCAGTTTCCTCATCTGTCAAACTGAAATAATAACACCTATTACATAGTATTGCTATGTGGATCAAATCAGATAATATATGTAAAGTGCTTTGAAAATCATAACACTATTTTTATTACTTGACCCATGCCAATTAGATATGTCTGTATTACTTGATACATTTAGGAATTATGATGGATTCAGTATTTTCAAAAAACAGGATGACAGAAATCAGATTCTTTCAGTAATTAGTGTAAATCTCTTACATAAGTTTCTACTTTGCTTATAAAGCATCTGAAAAATACCTCGAGTGTGAAAGGGCCTCCATTTGAAAATAAAAACATAAAGACCCTATTAAATGAATCATTCCTTCTATTTCATTGAAATTGAGTTCTTAATATTATAGTGAGTACTATGATACATTTCATTCTTAAGTCAGTAAGTATAGTCAGTCAATAAGCATTTATTAAGTACCTACTAAGTGCTAGGTACTATGTTAAGCACTGAAGTGAGATTCTAGATGGTGCCTTTAATCTTCTAGGCCCTAATCCAAAAGGAACATCTAGATATTCTGGTGATGTTACTCTTATTGCTGGGACACAATAGTCATATTAGGATCATGAAAAGCCAAAAGAAAGCAATTCCCCTTAATATATGTGTTCCTTTTACACCCAAAGGGCTATAAAACCATGCATACCCTTAGATCTAGCAATACCACTACTAGATCTGTATCCCCAAAAGATAAAAATATGAAAAGGGAAAGGATCTATATACACAAAAATATTTATAGCAGCTCTTTTCTGGTGGCAATTGGGGAATGGCTGACCAAATTATTGTATGTGATTATGATGGAATACTTTTGTGGTATAAGAAATAATGAGCAGGATGCTCTCAGAAAAACCTGGAAAGACTTACATGAGCTGATGTGAAGTGAAATGCACTCTATAAAAAGTAACAGTAATATTACAAAATGATCAGCTGTAAATGACTTAGCTATTCTCAGCAATACAATGATTCAAGACAACTCTGAAGGACTTAAGATGAAAAATGCTGTCCATTCCCAGAGAAAGAACTGATGTTGTTTGAATATAGATTGAAGCACACTTTTTTTTTACTTTCAAAAAAAATGTTCTTTTAACAATGAACCCATGTGTATTACTATTACTACCATCACAATCAATATCACCATTATTACTGCTAATATTAAGGATGGTAGCATATTACTCAGGAAGGTTAGATCCCAAACTGAAAGACTATTTCTGACATATGTGAATCGGAGAATTATTTTTGTAGTGACCTAGATGAATTACTATCGAGGAGAAGTTTCAGCAGAACCTTTCATCATTTGACAATTAGTATAAATCATTTCCCTTACACAAATGATTTGTTGCCCTTTTTTATCCCAAGATTATTCATTATGAAAAGGACCTTAATGGGGTAGTGTACCTTGCATATTTAAAGAGTAGATAGAAGGCAGTCTCAGAGAGGAAGACACTAGTAGCTGGAGGAAAAGGAAGGGTCTCCTGCAGAGGTAGAATTGGAAGCCAGGGAAAGCAAAATAGGAAGGTGTGGTGGAAGAGCATTCCAGGCATGGAGAACACCTAGTACAAAGGTAGGTATGCAAATAAGCCAGAGCGTGTCATGTGGAAGTAATAGCTGTATGGAACATAAGGAGATGTCAGTTAACTTGATTAGACAGCATTACTGGAGCACTTGATTCAGACAAGTCTGGGTGGAGTTTTTTACTTCCTTCTCTGGCAAGATATATGGCAAGTTGTGGCTAAGGAAGGGTGACAAGATGGTTAAGGAGGAAGCTGCGGGTCCAAAGTGCCCAATTAGAGAATCATAGCTTCCAGTCAGGACATGATGACCAAGACAGCTCTTACAAGAAATAGTAGGGAGCTTGATGAATGATAGGGCCACAATGGAACTGAGTCCACAGGTAAGAAACAAGTCTGGTTTTACCTGCCCCTAGAAATTAGTGTATGCACATAGTTGATGCTTAATATGTGTTCATTGAATTGATTTGAATCAGAAGGAAGCTAGTGAAAGTGATTTGGAAATGCATGGTAGAATCATTTTATTTCTCCATTTAAAACTATTTTAATTTTTAAAATGTGCTTTAAAATGATAAAGTGATGATAGTATATAGCAGTGTTTTAGCTGCTCCTG